AGTCAGGACAGATGAGCATGTGAGTGAGCTTTTATCTTTGCTTGCATACCCCAAATCCTCCATCAGAAAAAGGAAGGTTGCTACAGCTGGGGAGCATTTTTTATATTAGAAGATAATGGCTTGGAGCTGCCCATCAAAGGGGACATGAATGGGCATGAGTGGAAGCCAGGAGCTGGTCATTCCTTGGGACTGCTCAGAGGTGTGCAAGTGAGTAAGAGGCCTCTCTGGGCAGGAGAAGGCTTCAGCTAGGTACCTTAAGGGGTCCTTCCTTGACGTAAGGCGAGTAGGACTGCAGATACAGTCTGAGCCAGTGAAGCAGGTTGTGAGGAACGTGGTGGAGCCCTCGAATCAGCACAGTGTGTCATTCCAGCAGGTCTGCCTTCTCGCAGCTGGGATGAGGCTGGAGAATGTGCTGTCCCCCTCTGCCCTGGGGGTGCTCCATGCACCACAGCTCAGGAGAGGTCTGGCAGAAGACAAGACCTGTTCAGAGCATCGGTCACGTTGCTTTGGAGTGGAGGCAGGTAGGTAAAGAGATCGGAAAGAAATGGGGGAAGGGCTGTAGAGCATGGATTCCACTGGCCTAGTTAAACACACGGAGAGCAAGTCGGTGATGTTTTTAAAACTACTGAGGAAAAAGTCTCATTCATGAAATTGCACAGTATGTGTACAGCCAGAAAACTTGCATTCAAAGCCTTGGATACTCAATATTCAATAATATCTGATAAAGAATACCACTGAAAAATAATAGTGTTAAAACGGTTAATGCAACTAACTCTGGAAGGGATCTTAAGGTTCCTGCTTGAAGGTTTAAGCCAATCTCCAAAAATGGGGGATTAGGAGGAGATCCTTAGGGGAACTGTCTGTCCCTCATCTGAGTGCCCTTGGGCACTTCTCAGGGCTTCCTGCAAGCACATAACGGTAGGTGCTGTTGGAGAAACAAAATGCCGAGGGTGGATTTTGCAGTTGTTGGTTGATCAGAGTGGATGCGCTCAAAACTTGACATAGAATGAGGGACCGTGCTTTCCCCCCAGTAACCGTTAACACTTTTTATGCCAATTTGAGCGTTGGCCTGTGACACTTAAGCATTGCCAAGGAGAGCAAAGCACAGAGTAGATGCCAGGCTGGGACCTGGATGCCTTGGCTCAGGGTTGCTTTTGATGTGTGTGACACCGCCTAGCAGTAGTCACCAAGAGTCCTGCTGTGTTCTGTCCTAACAGCTACGTGGCTTCAGTGCACCTTGTTTGCAGTAGGTCAGCCTTTCTTGCAGTCTTGGAGACCTTGTAGCTCTCCTTAGTTGTCACCACAAGCATTTTGGTCTATGGAGTAGTTGCCTGCAGAGCAGCAGTACCTGAAGCCAGTGCAAAAACTTCATCAGCTTTTCTGCTCAGCTTAGTTTCTGGCCAGAGACCTGCTTTGCCCCAGATGCTTGCTGGTTGATGAACACTTCTCCTGTGCCACCAGTGATGAGACCATGTGTGAAAGAAAGCACAGTGAGGAAGTCTGTTGCCCTACTTCACGTGGCTTTTGTGGTGGAGTAGCTGGTGCATGGGGAAGGCAAGCTGAGGAATGGGGAGATGGTGGGGCACACGCTGCCTGCTCCAGAGCTGCCCTGGCACGACAGTCTGTCCCCAGCTCCCATGTACGATTTTTTTCCCCCTCCACCGCTGTGGTAAGATGAGCAGCCATAGGCCTGGCTTTTAATGGGTGGGTTGTAGGAGCTGTGACAGTAACCATTGCTGCAGTGCGACTTGCTGTTCTCTGCAGGCTAGGACGCACCATTCCTCCCACCAGGCAGCTTGGGGACGGCTCGGCTGTTACAAAAGCAGCCCTGGCTGCGCCTGCCAGCACGCCTTTCTGCTACAGGCTGTTGCAAGAAACTCCGTGACTGCTTTGGACGTGTGCCTGCATCCTCCCCTCAGTAATTCCAGGTAAGGTCACGGTGGCCTGGCTCCCGTGTGGGTGTGCTGGGCAGCCTGGAGGGTTCCTGCAGAGGAGAGGCACCCCAGGCTCTGGCAGCTCTCCTCCCTCCAGCCACAGAGCAATAGAGAGGAGTATCTTAGTCTGAGCAGATGAAGGGTGCAGGGGGCACCAGGGCAGGGTCCCAAGCATTGAAGTTGCCAGACTCGTGGCGTGTCGTGTGGCTTAGGGTCATCTGCTTACCTCAAATGGTGTAGTGCCTGCACTGCCCTTCCCGGGAAACCTCAAGCCTGGGCGTCGGTGAGTGCAACAGCTTCACAGCCTGGCCGGGCACAGGAGAGGAGCAGGGGGCATTGTTAAGGTGAAGGACCAGCTCATGGGTTTCAAAAGCTAAGCTGTAGTTACTGGTGAGGGTGTAGAACTGCCCTGAAGTGTCTGGTCAACAAGACCCCTAAAGGCTTCTCCAGTGAAACAATCCCCCATACTGCTACAAGACCTACTTGGGACATGATAGTAACTTTGCTGGCTCTGCAGGGATGGGAGTAGATGGTTGTTTCATCTATTGCTTTCTAGCTCTGAGATCGTGTGGGGATATTTTCTTCTTGTTGGGGAGATGAGGCTGGCAGTCTCCCCGGCTTTGCCAGCAGCTGTACTCATTTCTGGTCAGGGTTGCCAGCCCATGGAGCCCTTTGTCTTGCTGCTGTAACTAGTGCTTGTTCCACGAGCTGGAGCAAGCGGCAGCTGCCCTGGTTCCTGCAAGGTCAGCTCTTTGTGCACAAATAGAGAGAGACGGGGGCAAAAGGGAACGTGCTTCACATCTCCTGGGGACGGGCAGCCCTTCGCCCCTAGCCAGCGCCATGCTGTTGCTGCCTGCTGCCTTCTGCCTTCTCTCTCCCCAGCAGCGCAGGGTGATGGCGGGTGGTGAGGATGCTGCTGCTAGCAGCATGCTGGGAGCCAGCCCCAGGCTGCATGGAGCTGCGGATGCGCTGCTTGCTGCGGGAGCGGTGAGCCCTGCGGAGAACTGGCTGCTGCAGCTCATCCCAGCCCTGCAGGGGACAGAGCTGCTTTCGCAGGGGCAGGGGAAAGGCTGGCAAAACAAGCTGGCAGGCAGCGCTCTGATTAACCATAGCAGCCTGTCTATGCCTGATGGTGAGCAGGTCACCCAGCTGCCCTGATCTGTGCCCAGCCCTCGCTGGGGCTAAATGATGGTACAGCAGTGCCTGTCCCAGTACTGTCGAGCCAAGCCTGGTGGCAGCTGTCCCAGCACCAGTCATCCTGGCACTGGTGCCACTGTCCTGGCACCAGTACTGACTCAGCCAGCACTGCCCAGCACCAGCTGTCCTGGCATTTTACTGCCCGGGCACCAGCCTGGCCCAGTACAAGCTGGCCCAGCCCCAGCGCAGGTTCTTCCAGCCTGTGCTGCAGGGAGGGCACCTGCAGCGTGGCTGGGGAAAGAGCTGGTCCTGGTTTCTGGCCTTGCTCACTGACCACCTGCTTGTGAGTGTGAGCAAAATGCTTCTTCCTCAGCTGCAGAAGCAGCACCCACACCTTGCCCACCTGTGGCCAGGTACCTGGCAGGGGAGAAGCCAGCTCCTTCCTCTGGCACCCTCCTCCTTGCTGGAGCACCGCAGCCCCTTGAAAACCTTCCCTCTTTTCCTATTGAACATGCAACGCTGTGGGAGTTGCTCATCTGAGCATGGGAAGAGGACATAGTTGAGCTGAACAGGATGGGTCCAGCCTCAGTGACCAGCTGCTGGCCCTGGACCAGAGCTGTCGGCGCAGGACCCCACCGCAGCTGGGTACATTGGGTTTCCTGGAGCTGGAGCCACCTTGGGGCTGTGGTCAGCCAGGCACTGCTGTCCTGCCTTCAGAGCAGCCGTGTAAGGTTGGATCCCCTTCCCAACATCTGGCAGAAATAAAGCACACGTCCATGTCAAACATAATGTATTTATAGCAAAAATAGGCTTTTTCTGTAGCTTCCATACACAAGGTTTTCTCCCCATACATTTACGCAGTAAACAGGTCGACTGAAGCAGTGTGCACTGGGCTGACTCAACAGCTGCCCTTACTTCAGGCTCCCACTTATCATGGATGGCCTCATTCCCCTTTCGTGGCTGCTCTCCAGAGCCTGCGCTGGATCCTCGTACCTCCCCAGCACGGGCAGCGAGCAGCCCTGGGGCAGAGGGGAGCAGTGGTGCATGCTCCTGCCCGTCGGACAGAGGGCAAGGCTGGTGCACAGGCTGCCTCTGTTCAAACGGGGACAGCCCAGGGAGTCCCCCCAGCCCAGGTTCAAGAGGAAGCTTCCCGTAGCTCACCTGTGCTGACCACAGGCTCCTCCACCATGCAGTTAAGCAGCAAGTGACTAGGCAAGGGACCTCAGCCCTCTCATGGTGGTAAGAAGATAGAAGCCACGTTAACTCAGGAAGCCTCCCTTGTTCCTCCTGCCTCTCCACTGATGGGACGCAGAGGAGGGGCTTTGGGGCAAGCTCCCCAAGGTCTGCCCAAAGTCCCCTGCAGAAACCTCACTGTCAGAGACATTCTCACCCCGCTGTCAGAGAAGGCAGAGCACTAAGGGCACCCTGCCAGCAAGAGCTTCACAGTTTGGAGTTCGCCTGGGTCATTGCTTGTCCATCCCACAGGGGTTTGGCACGTAGACCTAAAGGGCAGGACGTGTAGGCAGCAGGCACATCCCCTTCCTCTTCCCGGGCTGGGGAAGGGTCCTCGCTTGGAGCCAGCGCTCCTCCCTGCCTGACCACACAACTCAGGACATTGCAACGCACCTGCGAGCTGCCTGCACTGTTCCCAAGTGAGATGCATCACCCCAACGAGGCCAGGCACCGAAGGGTGGCTTGCAAGCAGGGCAGCCGCTGCAGTACAGGGAAGGAAGCCAGCTCTCCCCTCTGCCCTCCCTGCGGCAGCCCTGGCTGCCGCAGCGCCCAGGCAAGGAGCTTCTACTCGCAGGGGAGCACCCCTCGAAACCAGCCCCAGTCCCCTCCCACCTCCCTCTCCCCCCGCATCTTTGGCAGTCCTCCTTGGACATGTTCAAGTCTCCAGCATCACACCGACATCTCAGCAGCACGGACTTGCCTCACAGTTTGGTAATTGCACGAAACGGGGCCACTCAGTGAGCCCCACAAGGGCGGGGGGAAGGAACAAGACAGTCAAGTAAACTAAATTGAGTAATCCCTCGCCGTCCGTCCCAGCATGACGGGTCACGCATGAGTCCAGGGAGAGAGGATGCTGCCTGGCCCTGCTGCAGCACAGCTCCCCACCACCGTCTAGGAGATCATGTACTGGGTGATGGCCTGCAATGCGTACAGCAGCTCTGCCTGCATTCGTGCTTCCAGGATGAGCAGGTTCACGTGGACCTAAGGGAGAAGCAAGAGAGGTTCAGGCAGCCGGAGTGTGCTGCAGGCAGTGGTGCAAGCAAGCACCCACCCGGGCTAGTGAGTCTTTTGGCATAGGACAAAATGCCACCAATTTTTCCAGCACAGGCAGCTGCACTTTCCCCTTCCTCCCAGTCCTGCAGGCTGTGGCTGCCTCCCGGAGCCACGTGCTGGGGAGTCCCCAGCATGCTTGGCACCAGCATGCTGGGCTGGCATCGGCACGGTCCCTGCCACGCACAGCAGCCGCTCCTGCGAGTTACAGCTGGACCAAGGGCTTGTCTGGAGGCACTCACAATGGGGTAATGGGCCTGGAGATCCCCGTGCTGCTGGTGGCCCCTGTGCTCATCACACTGCGGGCAGCCCCATGCCACGCTAAGCCCAACTCCTTACGAACAGCCAGTTTCCATTTCCCCCCCACCTGCCTCGGACTGGTTTGGTGACTCAAACGTTTCCCATACACCCCCTGAAGCACCCCAGCCTGCAGCCCCTGCCCGCTCCCGGCCCCACTGCAGCCGGTCAGAGCCAGGGGCCGGCTGTCCCACCTTTTCACTGTGCTTGAACTGCTTCCAGAACCTGTCAAACATTTCTGAGTTTGTCTTCTCTGGGTAGCAGGTTACAGTCTTAATGTAAACTTTCAGCATTCGCTCCAGGAGCTGATTCACTTCGGCATAGTCATAGTCATCGTACCTGCGGGGAGCACAGGGGCAAGTCACGGCCAGCACCATACCCTTGCGGAGCACCTTGCCCGTGGTCTGCCTGGGGCAGGCAAAGCCGCAGGGCAGGGGGACACACGGCAGCGGCCACCAGGCACTGAAGCCCCATCCCTGAAGTGCCCTGTCCTGGCCAGAGAAGCTGAGCATCTCTTGCCTGCCTGGCCCAAATCCAGGCAGGCAATTCACCTCCGTCTCTATTCCAAGCCCATCTGCAAGACAGCCCAAGTGCCCTACCCTCCTCCCACCTGGGTCAGCTCGGTTTTCTCCCCTGGACCGCGAGGTTGGTTTCCCTACCTAATGCCAAACATGCAGTGGATGTAGTTCCAGATGCCCCGCTTGAAGACAGAGGGTTCACAGCCCTGACGCTTGGCCATGGCACTGCTTTGCAGACCATCCACCATCCGAAACTTCTCGTCCAGGAGATGCCCGATGTCGGAGTAGAGTCGGTTGACCAGCGAGAAGCCATGGTCTTCCCAGGAGTAATCCTGTTGAGCACAGCAAGAGGCTTTTGCAACTGCAAAAGGGAGCCCAGGGCATGTTCCCAAGAAGAAGGGCTGGAGACTTCCAGACGCAGCAGAATTCGATAGGTTTGCTCTGGGGCGGCTCTGCCACAAACCACAACATCCCTCATCAGGCAGCTTTTGAATGATTTTGACCCTTGCCTCCGTGAGGGCAATGTGAAGAAATGCGCAGCCCTTGGGGACAGAAGTCACTGGTCACCTCCCTCTCCCCAACCCTAGTGGGGCAGGTCCCCTCTCAGAGCTGAGCTTCCCCGCTTGGGCACTTTTCAAAAGGCGCTGCACCAGATACAGGCTGCACAGGCACCCCCGCGACCGTCCCCTCCCCACCAGGAACAGAGAGGAGAGGAGAGGTGGCAGCCCGAGCTGCTGCCCACCAAGAGAGCAGGAACCTCACCTGGACTCTGAATACCTGCGTCTGATCCTCGTCACGCCGGGCAAAGTCCTGGTATCCAAAGTCAGGGTCCTGCATGTAGCATGCAAGATTGGTGGCACTGGTGACTTCCCCGTCGGTATCTGCGAGATGGGAGAGCCCCGCAGACAGGTCAGAGTGATGCTCAGCTGCCCTCTTCCCAGCTGCAGCAGGCGTCAAAAGCCGGGCCTTGCTGTGCCTCTTTGGGAAGAGCCACTGCCTTCTTCCCCCCCTGGCCAGCATCCCAGGAGCCCCTCTCGAAACCATACATCACGGAAAATACAAGTATAGGCATGGGGGAGCAACACCCAGGTATGCCATACGAACTCCCATCCTGCAGACCCACTTCTGCTTCCTGCCCCTCACCTTCCTCTCGGTCCTGCTGCAGCAGCCTCATCTCCTCCCTGCCCTCGGTCTCCACGTGGATCCGCTGCATGCGTTCCCGGAGGGAATCCAGCTCCATGCAGGAGTCCAGGGACTGCACAGACACAGGCTCAGGGGTGAGGGCAGCGGTCCCAGCCACACCCCCCATCCCCCCGTGGACCCACCCTCGAGGGCTCACCCGCTTGCGGTTGATGCGCAGCAGCTCCTGGCTGCAGCCGTTGCCGGCGGGGGCTTCACAGAACCACTGGTTCCCGGGCGACAAGGGCTTCAGCAAGCCTCGGCCCCCCGGCCCCTCGTCCTGCTCACAGCCACAGCCAAAGACAAAGCTGGCAAGCGCGTGGCAGTGTGCCAGGAGGACAACGGCATGCACCAGCTCCGCCAGCGACCAGCTCCACTCGCTGATTTTCAGCAGCTTCTGCAGGACACGGACAGACCAGTGATGTGATGTGGGCAGGCAGGCAGGGTGCCAGCACGCCCTGGGGATGCGGCTGTCCCCCGCCACCGCCCTGGTCCCTGGCTGATAGCCCCCTCAATACCTCAATGTGCTCCTTGGTGATGAGCCATGGCCGGTGTGCCAGGATCTTGTTGATCTCGTTGAGGTTGCGGAGTTTAGGGGGGATGAAGTCGAGGCCGCGCAGCCACTGGGGATCGCCCCCTGCCCGCAGGAACTGCAGCACGTGCAGGTTCACCAGGTACCGGCACTGGTGCCGGGCGGCTGCCTGCAAGAGCAGCACATCAGCATCACCACGCTGGCGGGACAGGCGTCCTGGGACCCACCTCTCACCCAACCTCCAGGACATCAGGATTTTGGCCTCTGCGAGAAGG